ATCAACGCTATGTTTGGAGGAGGAAGAACAAGGCCTATGATGAAAAGAACACCTTGCCTACTGTGAAGCATGGTGGAGGGTCAATCATGCTTTGGGGCTGTTTTGCTTCTGCAGGTACAGGGAAGCTTCAGCGTGTGCAAGGTACCATGAATTCTCTTCAGTACCAGGAGATATTGGATGGAAACGTGATGCAGTCCGTCACACACCTGAGGCTTGGGAGACGTTGGACCTTTCAACAGGACAATGATCCCAAGCATACCTCCAAGTCCACTAGAGCATGGTTGCAGAGGAAAGGCTGGAACATTTTGGAGTGGCCATCGCAGTCACCAGACTTAAATCCGATTGAGAACCTCTGGTGGGACTTAAAGAAAGCAGTTGCAGTGCGCAAGCCTAAGAATGTGACTGAACTGGAGCCTTTGCCCATGAAGAATGGGCGAAGATACCCGTAGATCGCTGCAAGACACTTGTGTCAAGCTATGCTTCACGTTTAAAAAGCTGTTTATAACTGTAAAAGGATGCTGTACTAAGTACTAAGATTGAATGTCACTTGGGGGTTGAATAAAACTGATAATGCTGTGAGCACAGAAAAAGACATTTGTGGTTATTTCATTATAACTGTTATGTTTATATTTGTCTGACCTACAAGTGCCTCTTTAATGTAAATGTAAGCAAGATGACTGAATGATCAAAAGCAATGTCAAACTGGCCAAAACACTCAATTTCAGTGGGGGTTGAATAATTTTGGCCACAACTGTAAATGATTTACTGCTCACACATGCCATGAGTATATGTGGAATTACTCACCAAAATAGATTCTGCTACTTCTCCTGAGTATGGGGGTACCCACATATGAGAGACTTTTTGGGCAGTCTAGCCAAGTACAGGACCCCAAAATCCAATAAACACCTTCAGGCTTTTAAAGGGCTTTATTTCCTCATTACACTTCCTCACTACCTATCACAGTTTCGGAGGGCCCTGAAATGCCAGGATAGCACCAAACCTCCCCAAATGACCTTTTTTTTGGAAAGCAGGCACCCCAAGGAATTTGATAAGAAGTATTATGAGTATTTTGCAGATCTCGTTTGTTGCTACAAGTTTTTGGAAAATGAAGAGAAAAAAAAAAACAAAAAAAATATTTTTTCTTTTCTTTTTTTATATTTCAAACCCTTGTGAGAAAAAATGAGATCTGCAAAATACTCACCATGCCTCTTTAAATTCCTTGGGGTGTCTACTTTCCAAAAAGGGGTAATTTGGGGGGGGGGGGTTGATGCTATCCTGGCATTTCAGGGCCTCTGAAACTCTGATAGGTAGTGAGGAAGTGAAATGAGGAAGTTCCGCACCTTCAGGCTTTCAAAGTGGTTATTGGATTTCAGGCTCCTGTATGTGGCTAGGCTCCCAAAAAGTCTCACACATGTGGGTATCCTCATACTCGGTAGAAGTAGCAGAATGTATTTTGGGGTGTAATTCCACATATATTTATTGCACAAGCCATGGGTATATAATTTAAATAACAACTTTGTGTAAAGAAAAAAAAAAAAGTTTTTGTCATTTTCCAGAAACTTGTGGAAAAAAAAATAAATCTTCCATGGACTCAATATGCCTCTCAGCAGATACAGTAAAGAAAATAAAATATTTGATCCCCTGCTGATTGTGAATGTTTGCCCACTCACAAAGAAATTATCAGTCTAAAAAATCGAATGGTCGGTGTATTGTAACACTGAGAGACAGAACAGCAACAAAAAAAGTCAAAAGAAATGCATGTCTAAAAATTATGCACTGATTTGCATGTTCATGAGGGAAATAAGTATTTGATCCCCTTCACAAAACATGACTTAGTACTCGGTGGCAAATCCCTTGTTGGCAATCACAGAGGTCAGACGTTTCCTGTAGTTGGCCACCAGGTTTGCACACATCTGAGGAGGGATTTTGGCCCACTCCTCTTGGCAGATCCTCTCCAAGTCATTAAGGTTTGGTGGCTGACATTTGGCAACTCGAACTTTCAGCCCCCTTCACAGATTTTCAATCGGATTAAGGTCTGGAGACTGGCTAGGCATGTCTAACAAATAATGCACTGATTTGCATCTTCATGAGGGAAATAAGTCTTTGAACCCCTATCACTCAGCAGGATTTCTGGCTACCAGGTGTCTTTTATACAGATAATAAACTGAGATTAGAAGCAGTCTCTTAAAGGGAGTGCTGCTAATCTCATTTTGTTACCTGTATAAAAGACACCTGTCCACAGGAGCAATCAAAACAATCAGATTCCAAACTCTCCACCATGGCAAAAGACCAAAGAGCTGTCCAAGGATGCCAGGGACAAGGTTGTTGACGTACACAAGGCTGGACTGGGCTACCAAACTATCACCAAGCAGCTTGGTGAGAAGGTGACAACAGTTGGTGCAATCATTCACAAATGGAAGAAACACAAAACAACTGTCAGTCTCCCTAGATCTGGTACACCATGCAGGATCTCACCTCGTGGAGTGTTAATGATCATGAGAACAGTGAGGAGTCATCCCAGAACTACACATGAGGATCTTGTCAATGATCTCCAGGCAGCCGGGACCACAGTCAACAAGAAAACGATTGGTAACAAACTACACCGACAAAGATTGAAATCCTGCAGTGCCCACAAGGACCCTCTGCTCAAGAAAGCACATGTCCAGGCCCGTCTGAAGTTTGCTACTGAACATCTGAATGATGCAGAGGAGGACTGGTTGAAAGTGTAGTGGTCAGATGAGACCAAAATCGAGCTCTCTGGCATCAACTCAATTCGCTGTGTTTGGAGGAGGAGGAATGCTGCCTATAACCCCAAGAACACCATCCCAACTGTCAAACACGGTGGTGGAAACATTCTGCTTTGGGGGTGTTTTTTTCTGCTAAGGGGCAGGACAAGTGCACTGCATCAAAGGGACGATGGACGGGGCAATGTCACTGCTATGATTTGGAGCCTCATATTGTTCATTATTTAATCTCATCCATTCAAAAGTTCATTGGACTATTTCTGAAGCACAAAATTGGGTTAATCATTTTATATGTTATTTTAAATCACAGGAAATGGATTCATTTCATATTCATTCTATACGGTCTATAGTTGATCACTATCATCCTTGTCACTATATTGGTTCATTTATGTTCATCCATTCACATCTGCACTCGTCACCTTGTTGATGATATTTTTAGGATTTCACTATTACTGCGCAGTCAATTTTTGCGCCTTTTGCATGAAGTCACTTTTTTTATGGCGCTGCATATTTGTTATATGGACGGGGCAATGTACTGTCCAGTCTTGCGTGAGAACCTTCTTCCCTCAGCCAGGGCATTGAAAATGGGTCATGGATGGGTGTTCCAGCATAACAATGACCCAAAACACACGGCCAAGGCAACAAAGGAGTGGCTCAAGAAGAAGCACATTAAGGTCCTGGAGTGGCCTAGCCAGTCTCCAGACCTTAATCCGATTGAAAATCTGTGAAGGGGGCTGAAAGTTCGAGTTGCCAAACATCAGTCATCAAACCTTAATGACTTGGAGAGGATCTGCCAAGAGGAGTGGGCCAAAATCCCTCCTCAGATGTGTGCAAACCTGGTGGCCAACTACAGGAAACGTCTGACCTCTGTGACTGCCAACAAGGGATTTGCCACCAAGTACTAGTCATTTTTTGTGAAGGGGATCAAATACTTATTTCCTCATGAACATGCAAATCAGTGCATAATTTGTTAGACATGCATTTCATTTGACTTTTTTGTTGCTGTTCTGTCTCTCAGTGTTACAATACACCTACCATTCGATTTTTACACTGATAATTTCTTTATGAATGGGCAAACATTCAAAATCAGCAGGGGATCAAAATATTTATTTCCTTCACTGTAGCTTAGGGTGTCTACTTTCCCTACTGTCAGTTTGGGGTGTTTGTACTATACTGGTATTTTAGCACCTCAAGAAATGTGATAAGCAGTCAAAAAGTAAAAGCTGTATAAATTCCATTATCTTTACCATAGTTTGTAGACATTATAACTTTCACACAAAATCAATCAATATACACTTATTGGGATTTTTTTTTAACCAAAAACATGTAAACATGTAGCAGAATACATTTTGGCTTAAATTTATGACGAAATTTGTTTTTTTTGGATATTTTGCATGACCAAAATGAGAAAATATCGTTTAAAAAAAAAAAAAAAAAAAAAAATTTCTTCAAAACCAAAAATAAAAGCGCACAGGTGATCAAATACCATCAAAAGAAAGCTCTATTTGTGTGAAAAAAAGGACATAGATTTCATTTATGTACCGTATTGCATGACCACGCGCAATTGTCCGTTAAATGAATGCAGCGCTGTATAGCAAAAAAATGGCGTAAATTGCAGTATCTATACCATAGTTTGTAGACGCTATAACTTTCACAGAAAGCAATCATTATTAGGATTTTTTTACCAAAAAAAGTAGCAGAATACATTTTGGCCTAAATTTATAACTAACTTTGAGTTTACTATAGATGCTTTATAGCCGACAGTAAAAAATATTGTTTTTCTTCAAAATTTTCGGTCTTTTGTTTATAGCGCGAAAAATAAAAAGCGCACAGGTGATCAAATACCACAGAAAGAAAGCTCTATTTATGTGAAAAAAAAAGGACGTAAATTTTGTTTGGGTACAGCAGTGCATGACCACACAATCATCAGTTGAATTAGTACAGCGCCGAGTAGAAAAAAAGAGGCCTGGTCATTAAGGGGGGTAAATTCTCTGGAGGGCAAGTGGTTAAGAAGACTCCCAGAAGCAAAACAAAGAAGTGATAAAAAGCAATAAGCATGAATTTGTCTATCATGCTGCACTTCCAATTTCTTTTTCAATACTCACGCTAGAGCTGTTATGACTTGAAATTTGAAAAGTGCATATCGTCTTGTGTAACTAGGCCTAATTGAACTGGAATGTTTAATGCACTATAGCAAGCAAATTTTTAACCACAAAATTCTTAATTTTAATTTATGACATGTAAAGAAAAACTTACTCGGAGATCACCGGTGCCAGGGAAATATTCCCCATATTTGTGGAATGAAACTGTCATAACACGATCAGTGGTATAAAAAGCTTCTTCAACACCATCACCATGGTGAATATCTATGTCAATGTATAACACTCTTTGGTGGTATCTACAGAAAAAAGATATGACATCAGTAATCATGATTTTCAGGACACTATATAGAAGTACTGATTGTAAAAGTTTATTCAAATAATTTTCACAATTCACTTGTTGTACCCTATTTTTATGATTATTTACCAAGGAACTTTCAGACTTCTAACACTTAGGGGTTTATGTATATAGTGTTCATTGTTCAGATATGACACAAACATTTGCACAATGTGAAAATTGCTGTACTCATCTGCACAGCAAATGTTTTATAGACTTATCTTTATTTGTGTAACGAGAAGAAAAAAAAAAAAAGGCATACAAACTCACACATATCGTAATATTGTACACTAATGAGATAGTGGTACTTGCCATAAAATCCATTTATTGGAGTATATTGAGGAACACAGGAATTAAGATACAGTTGGGTTATATGCTGATGCCTACAGGGGGATTGGAAAGTGGCAAACAAAAAAAACAAAAAATCATAAGGCAACCTTCAGGATAATTCTCTTCTATCATGCATGTCTCCGTTTTTGGTAAAGCAGTATCTAAGAGCATAGCAAAGACAAATTGGGAGCCCACAATAATGGATTTTAAAATTAGTACAAAAATACTTTGTCTATTGGGGGATGTAGGAATTCAAATACAGTCAGAATGTACAAAATATCATTCCAACTGAGGGATAGCAAAAAGTAAAAAAAAAAAAAACAAAAAAAAAAAAAAACACACACACAAGGCCATACTGGGAAGACTAGAGACCCTCCTCAAGCCCGGCAGCTACCTAAAGGACCAAGAAAGTTGACCAGAACTAACCACAAACAATACATTTACAAACAGGAAGAAAAGACCAACAACCTCATATAGTCAACAGAACAAGTCATTGGGGGCAATCTGAAAGAGAACCAGGTCCTTATGGCACAAAAAGAAAGATCCAGGCAAGCATGACTTGCTGGTGTGTACATGGGAAGTAGCCAGAGGTCGAACATTTGTAACTCTTAGGGTCAATGGGATACAATTCCAAGACTGCCCCTGATAGATCCACTCATATGAACATATGCAGGTCATTTACAAATATGCAGTATCCTCATCCGTATGTAGAGGGAAGGGCTATTATCTCCTTGAATACTAACAAAGTCTACAATAGTATAGAAAGCCCCTACCTCCTACAAATTTTCTAAAAATTTTTTTTTTCTAAATAAAAAAGGTCTGGTTTATATAGCCCCCCCAGGGTGCAAGGAATTGAGGTCAACACTGCTATCTCTGAAACACTTCACATTTTTGTGGTACTGAACAAGGCTGTCCCCCTATTTGCCTAAACTTTTCGCTCTAGCCATGGAATCACTTGCTCTGATATTAGGAAATTCTTCCAATATCTCCCTTTATGATGATGATACACTAATTTACTTTGAAGACACCAACCAATCTCTATTCCACTTCTTAAACTTCCTCAAAGTACGAGGTCTTCTCAGGTTTCAAGGATAACTGGAAAAAAATCCCTACTTTTCTCCTTGGACCCCAAGGCCACTCTCAATACACCCCAATTCCCAGCTTTAAACAGCACATACATTTAAAATATCTTGGCGTTACAATGCAACCTTATTAAAGTGCACCACCCTCCCCAAATTCCTCTACATTTTAGCAAACTCCCCCTTGAGCATAGCTCAACAATACTTCCCACAAATACTTCCTCTTTCATAAGGAACCAACCAGCCTCCTAGATTCTTCCTTACTACCCTTCATATGCCGACTACATAAGCTGGGAATAGTATTCTCCAATTTTCATATGTGCTACCTAGCTGCTCGACTGCTTGCTATATGTGACTGGATCATACTAGGTAGCGATTATACCGACAAACCACAGGAAAACCTACATTATTAATACACAATTTAGACTCCTACAATATAGTAACACTTTCATAAATTCTACCAACTGGGCAGATTCTATTAATGACCAAATATAAGCACAAAAAAAGGAGTAATCTACTGAAGTCCCTGGTGCAGAAAATTGGTCCTCAAGGACCTCAAAATCATACGTCAATTAATCCAAGATGGCCAAGTCAAAGATTTCCAAACCATACAACTAGAATTCGATATCTCCCACCACAATTTTTCTTCCATCAACTCCAATAAGCAGTATCCAGCCATTTAAATCTTCCTTGGTTATAAATAGAAAAAAAAACCCCCCACAAAAACCCTCTTTGAAAAAAGATGCTCATTATCCCCAGATGAGGCTAAACTGATCTCTAAGTATTATCTAACTATATCAAAAATTTCTTGTGTTCCCAAATTTGTTCCAGATGGAATGATATTACAACACCGCACCTAACGATGGAGAAGAGGAAGAGGTTAACGTAGCAACAAAAGCCCCTCAGTCATCTCCTCTAACGTCAAACTCATGCAACTCAAACGCTACCTTAAAGTGGTTGTAAAGGCTCAAGGTTTCTTACCTCAATGCATTCTATGCATGAAGTTAAAAAGAAAAACCTTCTCTGTGCACCACCCCTTCACAAATACTCACCTAAGCCCCTTCTCAATCCAGCAATGTGCACTGCAGTCTGGGCTATCCCCTCCCTCTCATTGGCTGAGACAGCAGCATGGAAGCATCATTGACTAACGCTGCTGTCAAACACAGCCAGTGAGCCAATGAGAAGAGAGGGGGTGGGCGGGGGAATGCCATGCCACAGCTCCATGTGAGAATGGACAGCTGCTTTGCTGTGTGGGGTCACCCAACAGGAGGCAGGGGCCTGGAGTGACGTGGGGGAGGAGGATCCAGGCTGCTCGATGCAAAACCACTGCACAGAGCAGGTATGACAGGATTGTTTTTTTTTTTATTTAAGGCTGTAGAACCACTTTAAAACAAACATACTATAGGCATATAGATTTAAAGCTAAACACAAGCTTTTGTTACAGTTTACCAAGCTGGCCCAAACGAGCCCCACTAACATGTCAGGCTGCTGGATGTGCTGTATAAACTGTATGTAGCTGAAGTTACAAACCAGCACTGTGTTCTGAGTGCAAGCCGACCCTTCCGTCTCAGACCTGGAACACTACAGTCTGTCTGAGCAACGCTCAGCCAATCATAAAAAGTGATGTATTCTAGCAATGAATACAAAGCTTCCTCTGAGTTAATTTTGAGGAACAGCAAATTTACACACTGATATACAAGCTTTACACTCACTAATTTTCATTGTAGCAAAGTAATTTCTTCAGTGTTGTCACATGAAAAGATAGAATAAAATATTCACAAAAATGCGAGGGGTGTACTCACTTCTGTGAGATACTGTATATATATACACATACTATATACAGACACATATGCACACATACACCTCAAGAAAATTGAAGGAACACTTTTTAATCTGAGTATAGCATCAAGTCAATGACATTCCTGGGATATTGATCTGGTCTGTTTAGTAAGTCAGAGGGGGTTGTTAATCAGTTTCAGCTGCTTTAGTGTTAATGAAATTAACAACAGGTGCACTAGATGAGCAACAATGAGACGACCCCCAAAACAGGAATGGTTTTACAGGTGGAGGCCACTGACATTTTTTCCCTACTCATCTTTTCTGTGTTTTTCACTAGCCTTCCTTTTGTGTTCGTTTCCTGTTACCATCTCTTATGTTAACGGGTCGGTTTTGACCTGTGTCTTAAATCAGCTGTAAAATACACTAAAAACAATTATCTATCATCCAATTTGTTTCTCATCTCTTGGTTACCTTGTTAGGCTCCTTATCCATGAAAATATTTGTTTTAATAATTTTTTGGTGTGGGCCCCTGGGCCTTTTTTTTGTCAGTATACCCCTCGATTTCCAATTAAAAAACAATGTAAAATGAACCTCAAGAGAATCATATAAATAAATAAAAGGTTATGTCACCTCACTATTACTGAGGGGATTTAGAACACATCTCTGAAATAAATTTTTATTTATTTTTTCATTTTAATATTATTAACTATAGTAACATCTATGGTGTTACGGGTCAATTTCGACCCATATATATAATTACTTCAAAAAGGCAAAAAAAGTCTCTTTTTTTTCCAGCAATAGAACTTTAGTACAAACAAAAAATGAAAAACAGAATACATATATACAGTCAGGTCCATAAATATTGGGACAATCGACACAATTCTAACATTTTTTGGGCTCTATACACCACCACAATGGATTTGAAATGAAACGAACAACATGTGCTTTAACTGCAGACTGTCAGCTTTAATTTGAGGGTGATTTACATCCTAATCAGGGTGAACGGTGTAGGAATTACAACAGTTTTGCATATGTGCCTCCCACTTGTTAAGGGACCAAAAGTAATGGGACAACTGGCTTCTCAGCTGTTCCATGGCCAGGTGTGTGTTATTCCCTCATTATCCCAATTACAATGAGCAGCATAAAAGGTCCAGAGTTCATTTCAAGCGTGCTATTTGCATTTGGAATCTGTTTGCTGTCAACTCTCAAGATGAGATCCAAAGAGCTGTCACTATCAGTGAAGCAAGCCATCATTAGGCTGAAAAAAATCAAAACAAACCCATCAGAGAGATAGCAAAAACATTAGGCATGGCCAAAACAACTGTTTGGAACATTCTTAAAAAGAAGGAATGCACCGGTGAGCTCAGCCAACACCAAAAGACCTGGAAGACCACGGAAAACAACTGTGGTGGATGACCGAAGAATTCTTTCCCTGGTGAAGAAAACACCCTTCACAACAGTTGGCCAGATCAAGAACACTCTCCAGGAGGTAGGTGTATGTGTGTCAAAGTCAACAATCAAGAGAAGACTTCACCAGAGTGAATACAGAGGATTCACCACAAAGATGTAAACCATTGGTGAGCCTCAAAAACAGGCAGGCCAGATTAGAGTTTGCCAAACGACATCTAAAAAAGCCTTCACAGTTCTGGAACAACATCCTATGGACATATGAGACCAAGATCAACTTGTACCAGAGTGATGGAAAGAAGAGTATGGAGAAGGAAAGGAACTGCTCATGATCCTAACATACCACTCTCATCAGTGAAGCATGGTG